AGGCGGGCATGAGATCTTGCGGCTAGAAGCGATGCTCATCGTCCTCGGCAGGAGACGCAACACCGATGATACGACCAAGAGACCAGCGGATGGAATTTGGCTTCTCAAAGTCGTAGTTGCGTGTGACAAGAACCTCAGAAAAGCGCTTTGGGTGATGAAATGAGCAGACGCTCCTGATTAAGGAAGCCCAGGTACCGAATGATACCGTCATGGGGGATGGTGTTCACCCTGGCCTATTGTCAGTAAGCTCTTCTCCAGTCTTGCTCTCACAGCTTCGCAAGGGGGCACTCACCACTCCATCATAGGCAAGCCTGTGGCCTCGGCGCCGATCTTTGGAAATTGGCCCATGAGCCAGTGGTTATCATTGGGTCCAGGCAGGCTTCGCAGTGAAGAGAATAGTTTAGGCCAGAGGAAGATGGCCCAGACGGCCCACCCTAGGAACGACAGCAGCCATGAGCTGGCAAAGGCCCATAGGAATAACTGGCGTGAGAAAACGGGCTGCCGGTAAGTAACAGAGACGGCGATAACGAGCGAGGCCCAGGAGATGGGGCGCCAGGGGAGTCCCATGGCGCAGGCAGCCAGCCGTTGGGCCTGGTGTTTCTGGTTGGCCTTGTTGTGAAGGAAGAAATTGAGAGGGACGGCGACAGTGATAGAGGCAGGCAGGTGCGTTGGCGGGGACCTGCCGAGTGTGTGCTTTCTTTAAGGCCACGAAGAGGCAGGCACACAGGCGCAAAGTATATAAACGTAGCTGCAGACGCAGGCACCCAAATACCGTAAGGCACAGGGTAGGGTAGGTGCCTTGGATAGGTGGTGGTTGCCGACCTACGGCACGATTGCCCAACGATGTACTGACTGAGAACGCTCCTTCTCCGCTGGACAAGTGACACTCGGGAGAACAGTGCACTCCGGACGCCGGCCAGGCAGAACACGGCCGGCCGCTAAGGATATGGACGCGAAGTGGAAGAAATGTGATCAAGTAACCTATCGCTCAAGGCTGTCGTCAGCTTGTCGCGAGGAAACAGCAGCACCCTGTAACGCCACCCTGCTGTTGTCTGACACTTGGCCACTGTCGCTTGTTGATGATGGGATCCAGGGGGGCCGGCGGAAACGGACCATGTCTCCAGCACCTAGGTAGTTTTAGGAAGACACGCGGAGGCCAAGGTGTCGGAGCACCTTTCGCCCGACTCTCGACACGGGATGGAGCCTGACCAAGAAGGGACAAGCAAACATGGCCGAACATAGTCAAGCCCAAGCCCAAGCCCAAGCCCCCACCAGCTGTTGGCAATGCACGGCACAGCATTGGACCTTCGAATGGTTTGCCATTTACAGTAAGGTCATCCGTACATCATTCGTCGAGGATTCTGCCACACACACAGCACAAGACGAGCGCAGCCTGGCCAGCACCTTGCAGGCTAGCACCCAGCACTCAGTATCCAAACGTAACACCTTGCTCGTTTGGTTGATGTACGAAAATCGTATTCGTGTCGCTATGCCCCTTCATGACCACCTCAATACGCTGCTGAGAAGGGATTCCATCCCGAGCTGCCTTTCTGCTTTCGCTCTGTGTCTGGCTCGTCCCGAAGTCCCAAACGCCTTAACGCCCGCATTCTGTCCGCTGTAGACATATCCCATCCCAAAGAAAACACAATTTCGTCATCCAATCTCGTCCCTTTCATTGTCGTCCTCCTCACCGGCTGTTGAGCGACCCGTAAAACGGTCTGCTTGTCTCGAATGGCGCACCTGTCCAGCCGCCTGTCTGGTTCGGTTCCGGTGGCTGCTGTACCCACCCTCGCCCGCCTGCCAGGCTCGGCATCGCCGGCGGCGTTACCGCGCGGTGTGTGTGTGATCCCGCCAGCCAATGACCCTCTGCAGTGCCTGCTTCTTGTGGTACATCAGTCATGCTTCCAGGCCGCCCTGTTGCGCTCTGCTGCTGTTGTTGCTGCTGCACTGTGAGTCCAGAGCCCCAGGACGTGTGCCGCGGGCGCTGTCGTCGGTGGCTCTCCTCATCATCTGTGGGTGGCGATCGTCGCTCTGGTCCTGCGCCGTGTGCCTGCGAATGTGTTGGGTTCCTCTCGGCAACGCCTGGCTGCTGAGCGACTAGAGCCCTTGCCACAGAAGATGCCGTCATGGTATGTACCCCTCTAGGGATCCGTCCCTGGGCACGCAACATATCGCGGATATACTCTTGGTGTGGTCCTGCAGTCACGCGCGGCTCAGATTGCAGTTTGTCTCGGCAATACGGGCAGCTGTCCGAATCCTCGAACCATTTTTTGATGCAGTGGTCTCCAAAAACGTGCTTGCACTTGGGCAGCCGGAGTGGTGCTTCTTTGAGCCCTTCGGGCGTCTCGACACCGTAGTCGTTGTAGCAGATGACGCAGGCTGATATCGCGTTAGTTTCGTGGGCCACGTCTATCCGTGTCACTTGACGATTCATGAACCAACTCACTCATCTCATGGGGATCTAGTTCGGAGAGAGGCACGCTCTGAAGTGACCGAATTGCGGCAGAAGAAACAACCTGCTTCGTACGAATCGATCCGCGCAATAGCTGGGTCACCCGTAGGTCCTCGTCATCATCTCGCCCTAGGTAGTGTCCCAAAAGCCCATCCCCTGGACCAATACCATCTGACGCTGGCGGGTAAAGTCGTGACGACATGAATCCACGTGCCCGTCTACCGCTGGCTGCACGACGTCGTGTTTCGGGTTGGCGTTCAGAATGCGCCGCGGATGGTCCAGAATCGATGGACGACCTTGCGTCAGACGGGGAGGCTTTGAAAGTGTTAGTTGCCGCAGGAAGAGCCAAAGATGGGGAACCACCACTCCATATAGGTTGGCGGCAGAAATTAGGGCATTACGTGTTTTCCTTGCTTACCTTGGGGAACCCGGGATCGAAGAGGCACAAAGGTTGCTGGCGGACGCTGCGAGGAAAAGGCGGGTGCGGTGCCGAACTGTATTGTGTGGCTGGAGTTCGGCGCACGCGTTTGCAGTTCCTGCGGTCCATGATTTGAACTCTCCGCAGGCGAATCAGCAGATGCTTGGTAGTGATAGTTCATGCCTCGTGGGCTGGCTGGCATGACCGAAAATGATCTTTCTGAGTACATTGTCGGCGGCGCAGCCGTGTTGGCGGGGTTCGGCAAATGATGCGAAGGTGGTTGCGACTGCTGCATCTGTGCATGCCGATGCATGTTATCCATCGGAGGAGGGCCGAACGGCGAATAGGGAGCACTCATATTCATGTTCATGCTCATAGGAAATCCGGGGGCCGGTCCGGGGCCGAGCTGGTAGGCGAAGGGGTTATTCATGGAAGCTTGTGGGGCCCATGACGACGGGTCCGAGGCAGAGGTCGACCTCTGATGGGGATACCAACCCGCCGATGCGTGATGGACGGGATCATAGTATTGCGAAGGAGGCCGACCACCATAACCCCTCATGGCTGGACATTGTGGTTGTGGGCGGCGCGGTGAGCCGTGTTCCCAATCCATCAAATGGTCCATTATCGGAGGCGTTTTCTGTCTAGGAGGATGGGATGATTGTCGTGGTGTGAGGACGGGCGCAGACAGCGAGCTAGGTAATCATGGAGTGGCTTGGGCCAAAAAGAGTTGTAAGCACCCGAGTGTGACGTTGTCCCTAGAAATGAGGGGGGTAGCGTTGGTAGTTGTAACTTTGACTTCTGGCGCGCTGTTGTTCTTTAATCTGTTTCGCAGGCGAAGGCGGAAGTGAAGGTGCAGGTGACGTGTGACGTGTGATGTGAGGTAAGAGGGATCCAGGCGAGCCTGAATGCGACGAAGGACCAATACAAGTAAGGCAGCCTTTTACTTGGCTTGCTTGGGCTGGACCGGCTGGAACACTGCAGCTTCAGCTTCAGAGCGA